ACATACATTACATTACATACATTACATTACATACATTACATTACATACATTACATTACATACATTACATTACATACATTACATTACATACATTACCTTACATACATTACCTTACATACATTACCTTACATACATTACCTTACATACATTACCTTACATACATTACCTTACATACATTACCTTACATACATTACCTTACATACATTACCTTACATACATTACCTTACATACATTACCTTACATACATTACATTACATACATTACATTACATACATTACATTACATACATTACATTACATACATTACATTACATACATTACATTACATACATTACATTACATACATTACATTACATACATTACATTACATACATTACATTACATACATTACAATACATACATACATTACATACATTACATTACATACATTACATTACATACATTACATTACATACATTACATTACATACATTACATAACATACATTACATAACATACATTACATAACATACATTACATAACATACATTACATAACATACATTACATAACATACATTACATAACATACATAACATACATACATAACATAACATACATAACATAACATACATAACATAACATACATACCATAACATACATACCATAACATACATACCATAACATACATACCATAACATACATACCATAACATACATACCATAACATACATACCATAACATACATACCATAACATACATACCATAACATACATACCATAACATACATACCATAACATACATACCATACATACATACCATACATACATACCATACATACATACCATACATACATACCATACATACATACCATACATACATACCATACATACATACCATACATACATACCATACATACATACCATACATACATACCATACATACATCCCATACATACATACCATACATACATACCATACATACATACCATACATACATACCATACATACATACCATACATACATACCATACATACATACCATAAATACATACCATACATACAATACATACAATACATACAATACATACCATACATACCATACATACCATACATACCATACATACCATACATACATACCATACATACATACCATACATACATACCATACATACATACCATACATACATACCATTCATACATACCATACATACATACCATACATACATACCATACCATACATACATACATACATACCATACATACATACCATACATACATACCATACATACATAACATACATACATAACATACATACATAACATACATACATAACATACATACATACATACATACATACATACATACATACATACATACATACATTACATACATACATTACATACATACATTACATACATACCATACATACCATACATACCATACATACATACATACATACATACATACATACATACATACATACATACATACGCACACACACACATACATACATACATACATACACACACATACATACATACATACATTAATTACATACATACATACATACATACATACATAACATAACATAACATAACATTACATTACATTACATTACATTACATATATATACATACATACATACATACATACATAGATATAGATAGGGTACATGAAATAAGTCATATATGCACTGATAACTGGAACTGCACCCCCAAGCACACGAGTCTATGAGTCAGTGAACTACCGGTAAGGTAAGCCTTTGCCGACAGCCTTGGCCCGTTGAGATCATGAGATTTTCCATAGCTATGTCCAATTACCGGTTAAATCCCATTAGATCCCTTGAAGTCCCATTAGATCCCTGGAAATCCCATGAAATCCACCAGTAGATGCCCATGTCTTTGGTCATTCAGCACGCTGCTGGTGTCCTCATTCTGGGGGCTGAGGAATTAAGTAAGGGGCTTATAGCCCACATTAATACCTGGGGTATATCATACATAAGTGAGTTGTATCATCTTATTTTTAAACCAATTACTTAACTGGGATGCACATGTAAGTATAGCCGCACCATTTCAAAGAGGTCTTGACATATCGTACATAATCAGATCCCTTTGCTTCCTTTTTCAATCTCACTAGGGATAGCCAAACGGAAGGAACCTTCAACGACATTCAATATCTACAGGGCCTACTTAGTTGGATAGACCAAAAGTAAACCACATCTCAATTGTAGAAATCATGCTCATCAGCAACCAAACTCTTCCCCAAAATGAGTTCATGATTGGATCGCACCCAAGGCCCTGTCCCAGACGCGGGGTATGTCCCAAAATGGCATCCCTCGATTGTACTAGAAGTACTTGGGGGACGGGATCCAAACCAGGAACTTCCATCAATTTCTGGGACATACCCCGGATTCTGTAAGCAAATCGCAGGTCACCAGTTGCAAACATGTACATTCCTTCAGGGTGGGGCCCCGAAACGAGGCCGCCAGAGCAGTTTGACCAAAACTTCGGCCCATGTGCATGGCTAATAAAAATCTTAAATACTCCACCTTCCCCGCATTTTTGAATGGGAATTTCAAGATCCTAAAATGGAGGTACTATACGGTATAGTCTATACCATGTAAGGCAATATTTTGTGGCCTTATATAGGCCTTATACATGGTAGGTACCTCCAATTAAGGTTCCTGAAATGGCCATTGGTTTTTTGGCTGGTTAGTCTATTGTCCCATTTCTATCCCCCGTTGAAATTCGGGAAGGTGGGTTGTGCACAGACTTTGTATCTACAGTCTGTTGCAGCCCAAGTGAGCACAGCATACCGGTATACAGAATGACATCCCCTCCTGTAACCTCCAGAATCTGGCTGCAGGATGAAGCACCCAAGGGTAAAGGCATCCAACAATATCTCAAAATAAAGCTTCCCTGATGACTACAACTTGATTCAATTTGGACAACTCTTGCTACAAACTGTTTTGATCCATTCTTTGTTCAGGTGCCCAAAGGATAAACCAGGTGATTTTGGGGCACCTTCATGGACCTCACAGCCACCCATTCGTGGAAATTGCAACGGGGATCCATTTTACCGAGGACTGACCCTTGGAAAACAAATGGGTGACTCATGATGATTCAGTAGTCTGAATGCCCTTTCTCCCTATACATCTCTATAGCATTTAGGTTACCGTTTATCATCATTCACCGCTGGTCTTTCTGGATTTTGGTGACTTTTACATCACCCAATCAGTGGGGATTGATAACATCAGCCTCCAGTATGGGATACCTTATTTAAACAATAAACAAAACTGTCACTTGCAAAAGCACCCAGGTTGACCACGCATTCGACTTTTGAACAATATTGATATCAGTTTTAGCATGTTTTATCCCTGCATCTGGGTCATTTATAAACAATTCATAACGACCAGATAACGATTATAACCATTCATCAACCCTGAACAGTTCGGTGGTTCTGGGGATGATCATTCCCGTTGTGGCAGGTCCTTGAACCTTGCTGGTGGTGTTGAAGATGGTATCGCCTGCCAATAGGTGCAATTCGGCCACGGCCTGGCTGCACAGATTCAGTTCCTGAGAGCAGAACCAAGGCGAAGGCCATGGGAAATTCAGATGGCTAATGCTCCATCGCCCATCCCCATCAGTACCATAAAGTTACCAAAGGACATGTCGGACATAAATTGGGGTGTACTTGGTATACTCCAGTTTGCACTGATCCATCTCATATTGTTGCTTATAAGTTGCATCTCCAGTTCAAGCTCATGGTTGCTTCTAAACTGTCATTTTGGTCGCTTAACATCGGTTAACCCTCCTGGAAAACAACTGTGTAAATGACAACATGTTTAATCGCTGTTTTCAGACTGCACAGACAAATCTACCGTTTCAGTTTCGGCGAGAGTCGATGAGGACAAACTAAGTAAGTACGGAGTCTCACCGCAAATCAAGTTTTGAAGCTTTGTTAGGCTAGGCTGTGTTAGGATGACAGGCGTGTCTCAACATGTTTGAACCAATCAGAACTCCACCAGTGACGGAAATGGCCGCCATTTCCGGTGGCTGCAGCAGTCAGGATCCACCTGGAATGATCAAGGTCCAAGCCTGACTTGGAACGTCTAAACAAGCACAGAAAGATATGTTCACAAGCAGCCAGGGAACCTACGAGTACCACATGTGTCACTGATTCATATCATGTTTAACCTTCAATAACACTATTAAAAAAATATATATGCATATATATATATATATAAATAGACAAACAAATAAATTAAAAAATGGTGTAATGACCCATCATATCAATGATCAGCACCCCATCACACCGTGCGCTGTGAAACAACACATCCACGCGTCCATGGAGGGATCCGATTGACCCAGCTCTCGAAAAAAAGCGTGGCCGCGTAGGGTGTCGCTGCGGCCCTCTTGGAACAGCTCCTTGACCATGCCTGGCATGCTTAATGGAGGATTTCATCAACAAAACAAAACGGTGATTTAATCCCGAATATTAAACACCCCCTAAATGGTCCCAATATTTCCCAATTATTATGCGTAAACGCCCCCTAATATCCCCTAGTACACCATGGTTCCTGGGGGCCTGTTTAATATTAGGGGGAAGGGATTCATCAACCAAAATTGGGTCTATTGGAATCAACAACTAATTGCAGCTTAACCTACGACATGTTTTTCCTTCTCTCCACGGCATTCAAAATAAAAATGGAACGAACAACGATCTTAGTCATCTGATAATGGGGATGGGTCAATAATGGTACCCTCTGGTAGTCAAACATGGTCATTGAAAATCACCTATAAATGGAGGTTACCTATAAGCTGAGGTTTGAATAGGAAGATCAACTATAAATGGACGATTTTCTGTTGCCATATTTGATTACTAGATGGCAAATTGATTACTATATGGCAAATCCCATTAATTACCATTATATAAATACCCCAGAAATGGCCAACGTCTGCGGGTTGGGGCTCTGAATTTTCACCATATAACAATGTTGTGGAGCCATGAAACAAGGATCCTCATACCCAATATCTCCAAATCAAAGGTAATGTGCTAAGTCCAAAGGCAAATCTCCACACGGACCGATGGATTTTCCAAGGTTTACAGTACCCATTTCTGCTAAATTTGGGGATTGTTTATTGGGTTTGCCACATTAATATACGTTAATATGTTTTTGTCTTAGGCCTAAGGCTTAGGCTTCCACTGGTTCTAGCTCTCTGCTTGTTTTGTGTGATTCGATCTCCACTTGCTCCACTGATCTACATCTTGTGCCATGAGCCACATGTCTTCATATGAGGATGGGCCGGGCCCCTACCTGTTATACCTGTTCCAAATTTGACACAAATAGCATTTCTGGATATTTCTGGGTGATGTACCTCACTTGGTGGCAACTCACTGCCTTCCGGAAGGTTTTGCAAGAGCGGCATGTGCTGTTGCAACCTGATCAAGAGAAAAACATCCCCCACCAATAGAGTCCACAGCTGGAGATGAAGTCTGAGTGGCAAATCATGGTAGGGGGTGCCTTACAGCCAGTTACTTATCCTTCTTCCAATACATATGTTATGCATGTATAGTCTTGCATATATAGTTATATATAGTTATATTCATTTATATTCCAATAATTTCCAATACATATATTATGCATGTGAGTGCGGGGCTAGCCAAATTAGCTGCCCTCAGTGATGGCACTGGAGTTCTTCCCATCCTCATCTCTCAAACACTGGTGATTCACAACAATGTAGATGGATGAAGCCACTATCATCTATCGTCAGTTCAGAGAATTGGACTTGAACTCTATCTGTAGTCATCTAATGAATCTGCTTTGATCTAAATTTGGCAACTACAACAATTAGCAGATAATTAGCATGCTGGGCTAATAAGAACCAGCACCAAGTGGCTCATTCCGGGCATACTCCCGCTGCACATAGCGCTTAATCTGCATGGTATAGGAGAAGGAAACCCCGTGCGTACCGCAGTAGGTTCGTACCGCCTGGCTCTGCTTGCCGATTTTGGATCCCATCCAGGCGAAATGGCTAAGGCGGCTAAGGTATCAATTACCAAATTACATATTATTACCATATATGGCTTTTGGATGGGTAGCAAATCCCTCTGGGAAATTGCAATCCATATAGCTATTGCTTCACAATCCATTTAGCTTTAGTGAGGATCGTCCCAAATCGGCTCTCCCAAGTGGTTTTTTTCAGACATAACTGGGGTATATCGGTATATCCTATGTCATATGTGCTATAATGGTGAGCCACTTCCTCACTATGACCTAAGTGCACTCACCGCACTCAACATATTTATTCCCATGAAATTCCGCGACATCCTCATTTTTCGAAAGGGAAACACACATTGAAATCCCATGAAGCCCTGATTTTCGAATGATTCGAATGGTTAAATCATGTGAGATTCATTACTATTAGTCCTATGACTAATAGTTACTATAGAAATATTTTCGTATATTATCCCATGATCACTATCATATGACATGTTAAATCCCAATAGAATGATTAAACCATTAGTTAACTAGTTAACCTGCATTTTTCCCATAAATGATGTTAAATCTAGAATCATTAAACCATTGTTTATCATATTTTTCTAATGATTCTAATGGTTAAATCCCCTGATCCCACAGTTATGGCCCTTTACCAGTTATAAGTACTTATAACCCCATTTATAGAATGTATAATCCCATAGAAATAACCAGTTATAACTGACTAATAAATGGCCATAACTGCACTAGTCATCACCTCATCTCAGTCGCCAAACGCCCAGGCTTAGCGGCGCCGAGCCGCCTGTAGGATCTCTTTGGTCCGGGTCCTCTTTCGGTTCACCTCAGTGGCCGGTGATGAAGGCGCATCAACACACACATATACAATATATAATACGAAAATAGTAATTATATACATACATACATACATACATACATACATACATACATACATATATATAATTATATATGTAGATTATATTAAAAAAACAAATGTATATATATATATATATTGTATATATATACATATTGTATATATATATATAATGTATATATTATTACTAGTATAATTAATTGTTATATTTGTGTATGATTATGTCTGTGTGTGCATGCATTGGATGGGTGGATGAATGCATGTAGACACATCAGCCGATCCCGGATCGACCGACCCGAGAGATCCCGAAAGAAGGGGACCCCAATAGCTGGTAAGTGGATGATGGAAAATCCGAAAATATAACGGATGATTTAGGGGTATCCCCATTTTAGGACACCTCCACATGTGAACCGACCCTAGAATGGCCCTAGAAACTGAGATCATCTTAGATCTACAAGAATGTAATAGTCAAATCCGTTTTCTAGTTGAATATAGTTGAATGAATCATCTTGAATTGCACTGACGGTATTTATGAAATAGACCCACTAACTGATAGGCAAGACTCAATGGACTTGTCTTTTACCCACTTGCCAGTTTCATGGGGCCTTGAGATTCCAAGCTGCCAATCCGAACCTGTTGATATAAATGTTGATATCACTTCTAGTTGGTAGGTTCAATTACCCCGACAAATTAATCATTCACGATCATGCTCCGGGACAAGGTTGAACAGAAAAACTACATTACAAAACATATTTGAAAGCACCAAATCACATCAGGGGTTTGATTGAAGATAGGGTAGTAGCGCAGAATATGGTACGGGTACCCCATTCCATCTACTAGTTTGTCATCATGTTTGCCTCTTCAAATGCCGATGTGTCACATCCCATTATATGCCTTTTGTGTTCGCATAAAACTGTTGTTTACATGCTACTTGTATCCCATGCCTGTTGATTTATCATGGGTTACCCATAGCTGTGTTCATGTTCAAACCCAGAGCTACGCTCAAAATCCTTTAGTTTCTTTTCATGTGTAGTCATTCCGCATTTTCACTTAAGAAGAGATGCTCCCAACCATAGAATACCATAGATCCAGTGTTGGTTTTATAGCAAAATATGTCGAGTTCCCCCAACAAAAAACATGTCAAAAAAACACTGAACAACCTCCATGTGTTGGTTTTCGCGCAAGTCACATCTGCCATGGTGTTGGTCACAACACTCACGAAGAGCGAGCTGGACAGCAAGACACAGCAGGTCGCCTGGCGGAGGCATGGAGGCATGGGGCCTGGCCTGGCATCAGCATTTTCAATGGTTGATACATGTATAGAATGGTTTTGGGGGATACAACTTTATGGCATTTCATTGCAGCAAATTTTGGTATTCTTGTGGGGCTTAGATAGACTTAGTGGAAATACCATGACAGTGTATGGCATGTAATGAGGTATTAACCATAAAACATAAGAACTTAGTGGTATGTCGCATATTCATGGCGATATGTTTTGAGATCCAATTATATAATCAACATTAATCATACAAGACGTCGGCCCCCCTTCCGAATGGCAACATGTTCGGGATACTCAAGTCAGAAAGTCGATGCCTAGCTACAACCAACATCTATGGTCCCTTGGTCTAAGTGTTTGAGTTTCTAACCAACTCAAGTTTGACATCACTGATGGCAAAATAGGCAGGGTTCAGAAATCCCAAGAGTTGGATGAAAAGTACCTGGCTTACCATGGTTTTTTCCGGCTGAATCCAAATGAAGAACAGGAATTGAAAAAGATGATGGTAAACCTGGTAAACCACAACCACAGCTGCTAGCCAGTTGAATCCACAAAATTTTCCTGTTCAATCCCCAAGTTTGGTCGACATCCGTTGCAGCATCCGAGAGACAATGACGCCCAACCATCGCTCCGCAGGAGTTTTCAGCTCGACAACAATACGCCTGAGGTATCACCATGAACGATGATTACTGAGCCACCGCGCCGATTCTCTCAATGCGTTCATCATTGAGTTGAACAATCACATGGCTTGGGTGGTAAACACGCACTAACGAATGGACAACAAGTGAGACAAACTGTACAATGTACAATGGTCTGTCATATTAGACTCGTAAGTCGACACAAAAAGAATCATGTTAATCTATGTCAAGAATTTATGAGGTAAACCCAATAATAAACCATCCCCAATAGATCCCAATAAGTATCCAATAATTTATTGCTGGGTATACCATTGCTTGGGATGATTGAAAAGGACCCCCCTAATGGATGATTCACTGAATCCATGCAAGTTATGACATTGGTTTGATCAATCATAGGTTGTACAACTGTACAACGATAAATAAATAAATAGATAAATAAACAAATAAATAAATAAATATATATATATATTATATGTATTATATATATATACACGTCAATATTCATGTATGTGTATATATATATATTTCGAATATACATCACAAGACACGAGTTTGATGTGGCAATAGTGACAATTCACGGGATTTTGGGGGTATCCTAAAAATGGTCAGGGCGGAGTTGATCATCCCGGGACGGATGGACGGGGGCACACACCATGCGACATCTTTGAAAACACCAATCAGTTCTTCTAAAAAAAAGACTGGATAATCATGGTTAATAATGGTTAGTATATGGTTATTATATGGTTAATGATGGTGAATGATAATCTGGTTGGTGGTGCAATAACCATCTCGAAAAAAATATGAAAGTCGATGGGAAGGATTATCCCGTATATTATGAAAAATAAAAAATGTTTGAACATGTTTGAAACCACCAATCAGATATAAATAAATTTTAGATAGTGATAGTTTCTCCCCCATAAGTCCGTATGAAAGTCCGAGGTGCAGAGAAGACGGCGGAAGCTTGGACAGGGCCCACTCCAAGCTGCGAGTGTATTGCCTGCCTGAAAGGGCCGCATGTCACAGGCAACGTTGAACGATACACCGACCAAAATATCAAACTTAAGGCCAAATGCCAAGTGCTATATTTGATAATATGTTTTTTTTTATTTATATGGCTAGTTAGACAGTTAGAGCCTTTGATTGAATCTGTGATGGGCCATCATGGTCAATGCTTCAGCGGATCCAAAAGATGTGCTCCTCAATGGGTCTTTATATGCATGACTGGTCAGAGAGATACCAGAAATCATTCAAATACACACCCCTTCAAGGATGCCCGTGAAAAGTCACCCATGAACCCCAAATTCACTTGATTCCGGCGAGCCCAAACAATTAAGTGCAACAACTTTCCGAACCATTCCCCCCAGACCCGACCAAAATCACACGAAAGGAACCGGACCGCACATCGCGATGTCGGCCGGCCCGGCCAAGGCACCCAAGACATCTTCATGGAGCCGCTCCTCGATGACCCAACCGCCTTCAGTGTCCCCCACTGCAAACCAAAGGCTGCCCAGCACGTGCACAGACACAAGCGAGGCCAGAATCACCTGGCGGTGGTTGGGTTACTGCTTGAACCTGGTGCAACCAATAAGAAAATAGGGCGTCCAACAAATTTGATGGATTTTGATGGTTTCAAAGTTTCAAACTTCATTTTCCCTGTAAAACTGCCATTGGGCTCCCATTTTCAGACCCAGACCAGCTGAAAAGAGTAGCATGACATTTGTTTTACTGCAGGGGGTCCCAGATGGTCATGGGGGCCATGGTTTTTCTGTCAATCACGGGCTTGCACTCTAATATTCAACAACCCCCGCAAACCATGGTTTAGTAGAGGATTATATACACACATTTGGGACCATACAATGGGGATGTTGAATATGAACGGGGGATGGGATTAATGTTGGTAAAACAATCATAAACCATCCCCAATTTCACCATTTTTAAAGGTGGTATAGTGACCATACCCAGTCATGGGTGGTTTATGGCATTGCTTTAACCACATTACTTGACTTCGAGCAACCACAGAGGTTCGCCCCTGAAAAATTGCCACTTTGTCACAGACAACAGCGGCCGGATGATGGTCGCCAGGTCATTCTGCATCACTCCGAACCTGAAGTTGCAGCAGGTGCCATGCTGTTAAGAGGGACGGGCATACTGAAGGAAGAAATCCTGCACCAGTTGATAGGTGGTAAACTTTTACCCACCAGTTTCCCCCCCGGAACCATCATTTGACACTTGGTTGATATTGGAAAAAACGATTGCAGTATGTGTCACAGGATGTTGTTCACTTCTGACAGGTTCTTTACATGACACTGCTGAATGCTGCAGAATTCTGCTCTACGCAACTTAAAAGCAGCCAACTTGAATAGGTACACGATACACGTTTAGTACTGGGGGATGGACTGCAGCTGCACCGATAGGACTTTAACAGCCCAACTTCTGATGCCGAAAATGCAAACGCCAATGATAGAATCACTGGTCAGACCTGCTGTGGTGACAGCAACCTGTAACTGCGTAACATGTTGACACGGCGAATTTTAGATGTGCTGCCAACATAGATGTTCATCTGGGGAGTGCATTGAGCAATTTATTGTTTTAAGAAAAACACAGCAGGAACCCAGATTTTATGTGAAAATATATGTACTTTATGTTTATAAAGTTTAAACATGTTTAAGCCTTACCATCTGGTTATTTAACATAGCCATGGAAAATCCCTTATAAATAGAGGTTTAATGGGAAAATCATCTATAAATGGGCCATTTTCCACGGCTATGTTAAATAACCAGAGGGTATACCAATCCATTGAATTGATATCCCCATCAGTATGACAGTATACCCTTCAGCAATCAGTTGACCCAGTCTCCATAATCTCCACATGCGAAAGGAATGGCAAACATGGCGAAACTTGAATTGCCCATGACCTGACTGTTTCCCCATGAAGCACCATAAAAATGGTGGTGAGTTTGCACATGTTTGTACCATCTGTATGGTTTAAACGTTTAAACAGCCACTTGATCCCCAACATTCTGTAACCCGGATGCTTATGGATGCTTAGGATACACCAAGCTGCAGCTGCGGCTTCACCGAGCGACAAAAAGGTTTGTTCAAAGAGCTGCATATTGTCCAAGATTTTTGAAAACCTGGAGGATCTATGAGAATCTATGACGATCTGACAAGATGAATCTGATGAACTCTGCTAGCCATGAATTGTTGCGATCTATGACGATCTGATGAATTCTGCTCAAAGATTTGAATTGTTGCTGATTTCAATGCAGATTTGAGAAGAGGGAATTCCCCAACCGGTGAAAAGTTGGAAGATGATAAGAGAAACATAGACAAACTATACGCATACAAAGCAGACTGATATTTGGGAGTAAACACAACGCTTTCCTGTAATCCTTTGCGGTTAATCCATTCAACAACGATCCATGTCACAGACTTGGACTGGAACTTACCGCCAACAAAAAACGCAATGTATTGTTGTGACCCTTCAGGTTGTCAGCATGAATCAATAAACAATGATGCATCTTCACCTGCTGCAGCAACCTTTCAATACTTCAACCTTCAGCATGTAGGTCAAAACATGTGGAGATCAGGGTCACTTGAGTCACTTCCATTCCATTGGTTATGCAAACATTCAATGTGAATTGGACACAATGAAAAAGTACATTGACAAATAGAGAAGCACAAAACAACATTCTAATGAATTTTAATGCACATGTTAAGAAAAAACATGGACAAACGGAGCTACTTAACTTGAAAAAAAAATATCGAGAGTCAAATTTAGCGGTGGTGTGTTGTGGCCACACAGCACATAGCTTCATGGATTCCCTCGCCTGAACATCTGGACAAAGCGCAACAATCGAAACATTCTGCGCGCGCGGGAGATCCGAAGAAGACCTGCCGCGACGGCTACGGAACTCTCTCTCGTCAATCCATGGGCCATATTTGTTTGTTCCCCATCCTCCTAAATACTGCTGCAGAAGTCACAATATTATGAATATCCTGTTTGTATTTTGCCAAACATCATCATCATCATGATCATCATAATGAATATATATATATTCAATATGTTTTAGATCATTTTGACGCAGCGGTGCTCCATGCTTCCATCCCTTGGTTTTTATAGGAAAGGAAGCCCGCCTGTGGTGCCATCGTCCAAGTTGGGCAATAGAAGGATGATGATGTCGGGCACCAGCATTATAAAATCAAAGAAAAACCAGGTCTTCCTGGGAAGAAACGTGTTTTGCATTGCATTTTCCGGTGCCAAACGTTTTTTAAGCTTGTATATATATATATATATATGCATAATAATACGTATGTATATATATATATATGCATATGTATTTTATATATATATATACAAACACCATATATATATAAGTACATATAATATAACTATATAATACTATATATACATTACATTACATTACCATATGATATCCATGGGACGGGTATACATAGCTATAGTACCATACCAATACCTCTTGTTTTCGTGTGATACAGGTAGATACTCATATGACCTGGGTCATCCCGGTGCACCACCAAGCAGCAAGTAGTTCCTTGCAATGTCTTTCCTAAGTGGCTGACAGCTTAGAGAGGATTCGACCCAATGTTCCAGGCAGGTTTCCTCTGGCTACTTTGGACTGCGACAGAGAGTCAGCCCAAAGCGAAGCATATCATTGATGTAGACGGCGGTGAAGAAGGAGACCTTAAGGATGTGCTGAGGCCACACACTTTGGGCCCTGAGAAAGGTTTCTGAAAAATCCAACCAAAACAGCATATAACTTATACACACACATATATATATATATATATATATTATATGATATATATATATATATAAATTATAATTAACTGTTATTTTCTTCTCATGTTCTTTGGCTTTACTATCGGTCAACAATATTTTCATTACAGGAGTCACAATTCCCAGCCAAGTTTTTGGCACTATTTAACACCAACATTTTGCAGGATAATCCACAAATTCCAGTCTTTTTTGTTCCCAACTGATGATATATTGATGTGTATCTCCATTTGGGTCATTAAGCAACGGGAAAAAACATAAATTCAAAATCTAAACAAATAAAAATTCTAAGAAAACATGATAAATGTTCATCAATCCAGGAGACGGGAATGTCAAGGAACCAGAAGCCCGTGACGATCCAACCCATCAAATCCGCAGTCTCCCGCATCGCAAAGTCCATTCGATAAAGATGGAGTGGAGTGACACAAACCTCTGACTGCGCCACAGCAAAGTTCAGCCAACATTTGTTGCGTTTGAAATGGTACCGTGGTTTAAAGAAGGGGGACATTGATTTTCCGAAAAACACCCAGGCGTGTTTTGGACGTTTTGGATTTTCGACCAGAGCAACTACTCCAGTTGTTGGTTAAAAGGGGTTCCCAGTTTATGGATATTTTTGGATAATGATCATGCACAATATGTTGCGGCATGCTATAATCCCCTATGCCAACAAAGGAATCATCAACCAACAGCACCTTAGCAGCCACTGCTCATGCGTCAATTTCGGGTATGATTCAGACTTCTTAGACTTCTTAGACTTCTTAGACTTCTTAGACTTCTTAGACTGCTTAGACTTCTTAGATTTCTTAGAATTCTTAAATTCTCCAGGATCCCATTTGTTCATTTTCTATGGATCACCGAGACTTAGGAACTTGAAGGGTATGATCTCCTGATGCATCGGAATCTGCCCGGCCGCCCTTCTTCGGAAAAGCCAAGCGACTTCAAACAAGACCGCCAGCAGCGCCAAACAGTCCTTGGAAAACTGCAACGGCCACGCAGCCCGGACTGACAAACATTTAGTTGTGGGGATTTCATGGGAATATATATAACATTATATATATATATATTTATTTATGTTTATTTATATTTATTTATTTATTTATTTATTTATATATTTATTTATATTTAATTATATTCATTTGATTATTTAAACAAATAATGGAATCCGTGGGAATAAGTGGAATCATCTTGTGGGAATATATATATATACACAATGGGAATCATCTTTAAACAGACTAATGGTTTAGTAGGGTTCAGTATTGGATATGTATCTTGTGGAATCCCATTATAATCCATTATATGGACCGCATTCAATCGTAGGGGTATGGGATTTCATATGGACGTAAATGGAACCAAGTAAATTTTGTGTCCATATTTGATCGCCGGAGGTTTCCCCCGTATGGAGCAACTATGTTCTTTTGGCAGGGGGTTGGGCTGTCATGCACACAAGAACGGAAATGGGAAAAAAACTATCTTCTCATAGAATAATCATGTCCAAATCGTCCAGTTTGAAACTGTCTGGGTTGAATTGCTGGCATCCCTAAATCTAGTTTTTCACACAGTAAAGAATGCCGATGTTCAAACTGCGGACAAAATTTGGTCAAATCATCCGGGGTAAAAGACATGCCCCTCCCACGCCCCTCCATTGCGCATGACTCAATTGCCGTGCCTTTGGCCTTCCAATGACTAAACTTAGACACCATCCAATTGGACGTTTAACATGTTTTAAAATCATACGTATACACATATATGTGTTTATCACTATTGTGTTCAAATATGTATTATAATGTACTATATTTACACTATAAATATATAGGTATATCCAAATATATACATAAATAAATAGATAGATAAATCTGTATTTATATATATATACATATCGTTTATGGCAAACACACAACCCAGCAATACCCAGCAACCTGCTTCCGACTCACCATTTTTGACCGGCCAAGGCTCCCAAAAGGTTCGCTTGGAGGAGTTGGGGTTTAAAATATACCACGGACAAGGCGATTTAATCTGCACCAAGTACTGCCTTCGAATCCTCGAACGCGAGATGCAAATGATCAACTTTTGGGGGGGTAAATACCCCCACATCATCAGCCTGTCAGCTATGGATTGTGTGATCCGATGGTTCATGAAGCAGAAACAACGAGGACTCGAGCTCTCAGCCCTGGCCAAGGTTTACCCAGAAAATGTAGCTTGTCCAATCCCAGAAAAGCAGCGACGACAAAACAAGGGAGCACTTTTTCATTTTGGAACACATCATGCAGTAGGGAACCCTTCGCCTTCAAGGGAGCCTTGGTGGTCGGACTTCGTCAAAGTTCATGTGACTCATTTGGGTATGGAAACTCCTTGCATGGCCAATTCTTATCTTTTTGGATGCTCAGGAGACGAAAATTCTGGGGCTGCTTGGAATGCTAGCCTACCCATGGATCAAAAGGAAGTTAATTATCCGATTCCCTTGTTCTCTTGGGAATTTGCCAGGAGCTCGTTAAGAAAAACACTCCAGTTCGTTTAATAAAGTGCCTTTGGACGAAGAAATCTTGTTTTCATTCGGATGTGTTTTCAATCTATTTGTGAACTCTTCTAGGCTAAACTTCCCTGGAGTTGGGCAAATTGTTTCCAGTAATTTCTCATACTGCTCTTCCCATACTACTTGGACTCCTTATGTAAGTACGGGTCAAGATCGGGAACAGATTGATTCAATACTGAACATGGTTTGTGGGATTGGCTGCTATGGTCGAAGATACCGGACTTGCACGCGCCTTGTTGCGTCGCTGTGTGATAACAAGCAACAATGAAAACACAACACAATACACAACTGGAAAACATTTATACATAGGACAACTGACAACCTCCCCACTTCTTTTTCTGGGCAAATTATGATACTTCCTAAACTTGCAATGTTTGGCCAGGGGAGGGCGCTAGAATTTGCCTATAGTCATCCAGGAGAGGATAGACATGATAGACTATGGAAATGACAACAAACATCACTCAATAGGTCAACATTCTTGAAAGCACATACTCCTTCAAGATGATTCAGAGGAACATATATGAGGCTGTTGAACCAATTCGATGACTCCCTGGGTCCAGTGGATTCAATGGGAAATCCCATCAAGGTTCGTTGGCTTGGCCAAGCTGGCCAAACTTCCACAAGACAACCTCCTCTGGGTCTTTTTCCTAGGGGCATCATGGACTGGGCCCCAGGAATCAACAAAAACACGGCCGGAACATTACCCGCTGTGCTCTTTTTTGAATCGGACAGTCACGAGCAACAAATGGATACGGTATGGTTACCTGTTGCAATTCGGAAGGAACATCCACCATCCATATGTGTTTTTAGATGATCTTCCTTGCATATAAACACAAGAACATGTATCCAATGATGAACCATACCAAGGACTTTGTTGGGTTCACAACATGAATCATCACTGGGGTTGATCCAAAAAAGCGACCCATATCTTGACCAACTCAGGAGATCAAACAAGCACCATCAAATTTCCATACCCTCTGGTAACCAACGTAGATGTGGCTTTCCCAACCACGGAGGGACTGAGACTTTCTCGCCATCTTTTCAGTCCCAGCGACGTGTCTAGCTGAGGCTGTTTGAAACATCATATCAGTGACAGAGATATGTCATTTGAGGATGAAGATATCGATAATCATATATCCTGCATATTATGTATATATATATAGGAAAAGGGGCTCGTACCCAAAATGGATGGTTTATAATGGAAATTTTCGGCGGGGTACCCCCATTTTAGGAAACCCCCATCCATCCATCCATCCATCCATCCATATATATATATATATATATTCTATGTATATATAATATATATATATATATATAAATGATCATATCCTGACCTCAGGATATATATATATTATACATATCATCCGGACTATATATATATATGTGTGATATGCTTATGCAGTGATACGACAAATAGACACTTCAGAAACAAGGCACAACTCTAAAATCTTCTCCTGAGGCAAATCCCACTCCTCACGGCCGTACGCGACAAAAAAAAAAAACACCGTTGCTATTTAATATAGGGATAAATAATTACCGGATATGGATGATTAATACTAAATATGGCTACACATTTTCTTTTGTCATTTTTTTAAAATTGGGCACCCCTGAAAACTGGATGGTTAAGACTAACATGACAGAAAATCATAGAAAATCCCCGGTCCCTGCATCAAATTTGGCCCATTCTCATATCTCGGTTGCTTCTTAGCATGGGACAAAAAGGTGGCAACTCCCAGGCATTTCAGCTGGAAATCCTTCACCGTCCAAATCTGGCAATCTCTACGATTGCTGACACCCCAGTTGACGAATTGAATGCGGGTCCTGGGCACCATTTATATCTTAATTTATCTTGATTATCCAGGTTATTGACCACCTTCATGTTAATATTCATTTGCCATAAAATCCAGGGTAAACTTCACAATCCTGGGTAAACGGTAAGCACATGTAAACACCGCAGCCCTCCGTACCAAAGCCTGACTCCCTTCCCACATTTCCCACTCCTCCCTAAGCTGAAGGGAGCAGGAGTCCATGGAATTATTCCTCAGCGTGATCTGAGGGAATCTGAGGGATGGGATGATGGGATTTTCCAACTGTCACTATATAAGGGGTGGTTGGCCATGCATTAGAATTATTTATATATAAGTATATAGGTATTAAATAAGTTATATCATATTGAAGGTATTCGTGCACATATGATATATATATATATATATTAATGATATATATATATAAATAATCCCCGTTGGTACTACACGGGAGAGTGAAGTCAGGGAACCTAATCTTATTAACTTGATGGGCATGGCATAAACCTTTTGAACATTTATATCCATGGGCCTTGACTTTCACCTTTAGAGCAACTTAAAACAACTTTACCCCCCCTCTTGATGTATGACCAAAATTATTGTCCTTTTCCTTGACATTTGGCTACCCCCCCTTCTACATGTGGAAAATTAAAATCCTGTACCACAACCTAGTGCAGAAATCTCAACTTTTTTTCAAAATTAAATTGGTGTGTAGCAACTTTTTTGAAAAAACTGTTTCCCGCCCTCGTCAACATTAATTTGGTGACCCTCAACCTTTTATAGGTTTTCATTCCCCCCTCTTCAAAATTGTTTTTTTTGGTAGCGACCTTTGGCCCTGCCAAATCATGTTTTCTCTAACGCCAAGATGCGCGTGATCCGAAGCCGCGACAGTCCAATGCATCGTGGGCATGACAGAATAAACAAATGCAGTTGTGTTATTTTGCACAGGTAAATGTACTGTCAGCGCAAACCATGTCTTGAAAACCATGTAGCATTGCGCGATGAGGATAAATTATTGAAATCTAGCGCTTTGGGATTGGGATGTTGTCGGTAGGGACTCTTGAGATTACCTTTTGGCCAATGCAAGTTTGAGTGGTTTGCTGGCATTTCCTCCTCCGCGCCCACCCTCCAAACATCGCCAAAATCGACACAGGGCCGTTGCCCCAGGAATTAACTGCGTGTTTTTCGGGCTCAAGATTGTTTCTTGACCCAATGGGAAAACACTGCTAAAATAAATCTAACAGTTGTGGCATTTTTTGAAATGGGATGTTGGCGGTCGAGTCTTGAGTTTACCTTTCTGCTAGCGCGTGTTTTAGCGGATATTCTTTTCCTGCGTGCCCACCCTCCAAACATCGACAAAAGGACAAAAGGCCGTTGCCCTAGGAATTTACTTTAGACACCTGCCAGCGTTTCCCTTATCATCTCATGGTTGGATTGCTGGAGCTACACGTTTGGAATTGTGTTGTTGTTGCAAGAATCCATGTTTCTTGACGCAATGGAAACACAGTGCTAAAATCTAATATCTAATGTAGTCGGCATTCGGCATTTATGGTCGTGAGTTTACCTATCCGCCAATGCAATTTATTGGTTTGCTGCCGTTTTTTCCTGTGCGCTCACACCCTCCAAATACCACAAATGGCTTAAAAGGTCGCTGACCCAGGATTCTGTTTTTGACACCTGCGAGGAATTTAATTGTTCAACTCATGTTTGAGCTGAATGTTTGGAATTGCGTTATTTTTGCAGGGATCAATGTTTCTTGATGCACCGGGAAAACACTGTTAAAATCTCATGTTATCGGTATTCTTGATATTGAATTTATCTTTCTGCCAATCCAATTTCCTAGTCTGCTGCCGGGTGTCTTTCCTGCGCCCATCCTTCACAGTCACAAATGACTTGAAACATCCTTGGCCCTGGGTGTGATTTTTGCCCTTTTTCAGCTCATATTTTCGGTCTTGCGTCAATATTCAGAAATTCAACATGCATCAAAACATCAACGTCAATCAAGATTCAGAAAACCCCTACTATATCTCCTATGGTGCCGCCATTTTTTTCCCTGACCCTATATTCAATATTATTTTGGTGGGTTGCGACCTTTGCAAAAACTTCTGCTCTCCCGTTTCAAAATTGATTTGGTGTCCTTCAACCTTTTTATAAAATCCATTTCCCCCCTGGCCAAAATTAAAATGTTTTGTTGATTTTCATTCCCCCCCTCCGCCTAAATCACCTCAAAATTATTTTTCTGGGTCTGGGACCTGACGTTTTGATGATTTTCAAGATAACTTTAAAATAGCGATTATTCTCCTGTCCTATGACCTTGTCTTACCACCCTCTCTTCCCATAGTTCAAAATGAATTTGGCGATCTTGACCTTTGCAACATAGTGGGGGTGCCCTTGGAAACACCACTTATAGAATTATGAATCTTTTGGAGCAAGACACGGAACATCATATGGCGGTACCATTCATATCTGGTATGTCATGTCACTCTTGGGAGATCATCTCATTGGCCATTCACCAAGGTTAGCAAATGGATGTGGCTCAAAGCATCTCAAGCGTACTGACGTCCAACACACGGCACACAATGGCAATTTTCTAACATGACTACATATTTTTGTTGGGTAGTCCATCTTTGGGCAAACCCGGCACTTTCCACCAAGTGTCTCCAACATCTGTTCCATGTCCACAGTTTTCTGCCCTCAGTGCAGAAAACTGAGCCAAACACATTCCAACATCGTAATCAATGTTTTTTTTGTTTCAGGGTTAGAAAAAAAATCTAGAACACATGATTTTTGCCTGCCAAAAAACATGATGTACTGCAAATGTCCCTTCATCCAATTCTAGGAAACATGGATTTATCATGATTTGTCCAACAGGGCATGACCTTCCAAAGTCACACGATACAATATCATACGATATCCAAGTATATAGCGGATCATGGGCTGGCGACTCGTTGCAATCATGATTCCAGAAAATGGTGGCACCGTGCAAACAATTTCTAGGCTGCAAATGGTATGTTGAAACGTAAACTAAATAAGTGAAGACACTCTGGGTAGCAAGTAGTGTGGGTGAATCGCACAAGGGATATAATTTTCCATTTGGGATAAATCGTATACGCTGAGCGGCTTACTTGATGTAAATTGATCAATTGATCGAGGAGCCTTTGATGTAAAGATTTCTCCAACATGGAGGAACAAATTGAGATAAATTGGGGCATCGGCATACAACTCACAACTCTTGCATACCTGTTTTTGGGCATGTTACCCCAACAAATTTCCGCAAAGATCAAGGTAAGTCACTTCGGTTACACACCTCCAATGGTCAAGAATCCGGTTGGCTATTGGGATGTTCAAGTGGATGACACAACGGAATCAACCACAGCAATCCCTATTCTGTATTGGTCAAAATTTAAGTTGTACCACTTTAATCCCAAAAAAAACACTGTGGCTTAATACTCGGTCACCATGTCTGAACCACACAAGGTACTTGTTCAATGATTTAAATATTATTTAGTTTTTTTTTTCAAGTCTGCCCTACAAATGTTTCAGATTTTCTCATGGATCCAGAGGTTCCCCCACGCCCGCTGCCGAGGCGCTCGCTTCCTTCATCAATTTATCGGACATCCCCTTGGGCCTGACTGTACAGCTACGGCTCGACGGGGCCGAGCCCGACACATGATTCAAATGACCATCCTTTCCTGGCTTAGTACTCTCTCTCTCCACGGTCTTAGGGTCTTCTCCAGTATTTTTTGTTTTTGGCCTACGCTTCCAAGGGCCAGTATTGGATAGCATTGGTATATTTATTAATTGTCCAACTGATTCTTATTTTTCTATGGGACAATCTGATAAGTAACCCCAGAAGTAAACATTACTTACGTGCATATATAATACCAAACCAAGGTTCCTAGAGTGGTGTGGAAAAAAATAGATGTGGATAGGATTTTGAAATCACCAATGACCAGGACATGGACCGACCAATCGGGGACCTTCAATGTGGTCAAAGCTTACGCTTGGTGCTTTATGAAACCCATTTAACTCATTAATAGCCACAAACCATTGAATTGACCTATACTGAACGATATAAAGCAAATGAAGGGACATTGGTATACATGATAGTTGTTCATATGTTTATGTACAAGGTGTGATTTGTATAAAGCAACTATACTAGACTTACCCTTGTCAAACACGCTCAGCTGGAAAATCCACAATTCAAATGGGTTCGATGGCAGTTGGGAATATGATTCTCAATATATGGAAAAATACAATTCATGTTCCAAACCAACCAGATATATTGTTATTCCAATTAATAACCATTATTAACCATAGATTAACCATAGATTAACCATAGATTAACCAGTACTTGTGGCTAGTTGCCATGCCCCATTCGCCCCAAAATGTACAGCAAGGTGCTGCTCTTGCCCCGAGGACTCCATGGAGAACCGCGAGAGATCCCTCTGCGGGGGGAACGATACGTCCTCCACCGGCTCGCTGAGACTCACCGCGACCTCGAGCCCAGGAGTTCCGATGGCAAACATACATACATCCATACATACATTTATATTATATTATATTATATTATATTATAATATATTATATATATAGATATGTGTATATATAATTATATATACACACATATATATATATATAAGTATATTAAGATTTACAATATATATATATATATATATGTAGATGCGCGTATGTTCTGACACCCTTGAGGAACACCCAGTTCTATCCAATTCTGGCATTCAGTGCAAATGGGTGGGGGGATAAACACATGAATTTTGCGGTAATTATTCATCAACCCCTGGTATCAAAAGTTAAAACTTAACATCACAAGTTGGGGACATTAAGAAACACACCCTTCACAGAATATGGGGAATGCCCCAGATTTGCTCAGAACAAAACGCAGGGAAAAAATGATCAATTTTCTTGAATCCTCAACTGCCGGAAAAAGGATGAAACAGGTACACAATCAAACATGTGTTTCATGAGCCTCCAATAGTGCTTGATGGTGGTGAAAAACCTTCATGACAGTCTGGGCATGTCTGGGCCTTTTTCTGATGGTCTGGCGGCCACCCTTTGCATGCGGGGCTAGTGGGAAACTAAGCCAAACATGATTAATTTAAAACATGTCCATCCGTGTATGCCTGACCTTCCCATGAACAGTATGTTTTCCTGCAAGCCGTATTTGGTGACCAAAGGGCAAATGTTGCTCAAGTTAAATCCAGATCGTTGTTCTTGTTGCTGTTGCTGCTGTTTTTGTTGGTTGGTTGCGGTTGTGGTTGTTGTTGTTCTTATTTTTCATATTGTGTTTTTTCTTCATTTTCTTCTTCTTCATTTTATTATTATTATTATTTTTCTTATTATTTTTCTTTTTATTCTTATTTTTCTTCATGTTCTTGTTATTATTGTTGTTCTTCTTGTCATTGTTGCTCTTCTTCTTATTGTTGTTATTGTTGTTCTTGTTAGTCAAATCACCATCTTTCTTGAATGACCCTTATGCCTGTTGTTTAACCCCTCGTTCTCGCTTCAGGTACCCTCCACAGATCCCCCATCTTTATCATCTTTCAGGCAAGTCTTAGTTGGTGCTGCCACTGGAACAGAATCCACTAAATGGTTTATAATAAGTTTATATATCCAAAGATTCATATCCAAAGTTATCCACCCATATTCACATCATGATGGGCATGATCCACATTCCAGGTGATGACCGACTGGAATCACTGGAATAATATATATATATATCAATTATATCAATAGTTTTCACAGTGGCCCATAATGACCCATACTTATAGTTGTTCATAACCGCTCATAATTGTTCATACTTGTCAATATTTTAACCATAGTTCCAGCTTACATCCACATGGAAGTTTCCAAAGTCATGGGGGTACTCCCAAATCATCCAAGTCAATTGACCCTGGCTTAGTATTGAAACCTACGGTTTGGGGATCCCCCATGACTTAAACAAGAAACCCCCATAGATAAATATAGAAATTGAAATACCATGAAATACCCAGACCCTCCAAATGCCCCCCAACACATGGTAAACGCATTGAAATTATGCAAACTTATAGGATACCTATCTATTATCTGGGGTTACTATACACGATTAAATAAATAAATAAATATATATATATATATATATTGTGAATCTACATCATTGCAACCCCCACAGTGCCATTTCCTTCCAGCTCACGATGCCAGGAATAATCAACAACAAATGTCTTACCACTTGGAGCACATTGGCTCAGGGTCAGCCTTAGGAGAGGGCATAGGGATAGGGAATCGTGCTTGCCATTTTTGCTTACTGGTTTATTGGCGTGGTCGCCATTTTGGAACTTAGAGCCTGGGGCTCATTCAGAACTGGAAGGCCTAGTTGGCCAAGCGATTCTTGGTGCCTTAATCCTAAGGCTTTTGCCGCTGTGATCCTTTTTGCGAGGTCTGACAAAACAGTTTGGCCGCAGCAGGGGTTTTTGCTTTGGAGGTGCTACCAGGTGATCTGACTAATTGTCAATCACACTGGTAGCGGAGCTACCGTTCCGCAACGGAAGATCCAGGTCAGAGTCAAAGTGAAGAACAAGCTGCTCCAACGCAGCGCGAACCAGCTGCACCACCGCAGCGTATGACAGAGTCATCAGAAGGCTCCAACACAGTCCCGAATCAATTGGCAGTTTTGGTACCGTCATTTGATCCCAGCAAGGATGATCTTCAGGTGTATACTCAGAAGGTTGAACTGTTGCTAGAAGCATGGCCATCTACAAAGTACACTGAGCTAGCCACCCGGCTTATACTGAACTGTAGTGGGTCCGCATTCAAGAAATTGCAACTGCATCAATCAGAGATCACTCAGAACGATCGCAAGTCCATTCAGAGGATCATAGAACTGCTCGGAGGACACTGGGGACAAATCCCTTTGGAACGCCGTTATGAGTTTGCAGAAAGAGCCCTGTACAAGTGTGCACAGAAAGGGGATGAAAGCGCTGACAGCTACTTGGCGCGTGCTGACATCATGTGGACAGAGCTGAACAACACCAAGTTCAATGTGAGCGATCTACAAGCCTATGTGACACTTAGGGGTAGCATGCTTTCGGCAGAGGATAAGAAACGTGTCCTCATTGATGCTGATGTGGCTGACAAGGGTGAGTTGACCGTGTCCCGAGTCAGCTCCTCGATTCGCATGTTGGGTGCAGGTTTCTTCCAGGAGATGACAGCAGGTCGCAAAGTCTCCAAACTGAAGACGTATGATCAATCAGCTCTGGCCGCCGAGGACATGGATGGTGCTGAATCCGACCAGCCCACCATGGCCATGGAAGGTATTGAAGATGAAGATCAAATGGTTGAAACGTTAGTGCAGGAGGGAGACGAAGATGCGACTCTGGTGGCAGATTTTGAGGCAGCCGCCACAGAAGTCTTGCAGACAGATGAAGAATTGGCAGCCGCCTTTACTTCTTACCAGGACGCTCGAAGACGCCTCAACGACAAAGTCAGATCCAGAGGTTTCTGGCCCATCTCCAACAAGGGAAAAGGCAAGGGGTTCACCAAGGGCCCAAAAGGCAAGTTTCAGAAAGGACACCCGTCCTCTCGGAAGTCACTTCAACAGAGGATCCTGGAGTCACGATGTCGCCTGTGTGGAAAAGTGGGGCATTGGAAGGCTGAATGCCCCAGCCGATCTGAGAGTACAAGTGCCCATGCTCGAGCTCCACAAGCTCCCACGACGTTTGTGCAGGTATCCCATGCTGAGGTCAATGAGGTTTCCGATGGTCTGCCATTAGAATTCTTGAACTTGCCGCTTCATGCTGAAACCACCATGGATGCCACTCAGCACAATAATCAATTTTCATTTGTAACCACCACCCAGTGTAATCCCAAAGATAACCTGAACAGTTCTCTTCAAGCCTGGAAACATTACCACGATCACCACACTGCCACTGCCAGGAATGAACCGATGAGTGCCCAGATGCGATCCAGATTGGCTGCTCGAGCCCAGCAGCGATTGCACACCAGCAGCCATGACCCATGCAACAGAGCTGAGCCAGATTCCGTGTGTTTTGCATCCCATGGATGTATGGGAATAGTCGATCTCGGTGCCACCAAGACCGTGATAGGCAGCCATTTGGTAAAGGGTTTGTTGGATAACCTTGACCCATGTCTCCGATCACAAGTGTTTAGGTGCCCATGTGTTATCACATTTCGTTTTGGTAATCACGGAATTCTGCAGAGCAAATTTGCATTGGTCATTCCGATTCATGGTTTGCAATTGAAGGTTGCCATAGTGCCGGGATCCACTCCGTTTCTTTTGTCCAGTACCTTGCTGAGAGCATTGTGTGCCACCGTTGACACTGAGAACCATGTGATGTTTTCCAGAAAACTCAACCGATCGTTTCCTCTACAGCTCACCAGCAAGGGTTTGTTTCTCCTTGATTTAAATGTACTGGCCCAACAACTACCGGGCCAGAAGACTTTTTTTCCAACGGCAGAAACTCATCCCGCAATTGATGAGCATGACCAGAGCATCCGATCCGAGCCCAAAACTCTGCCAGCTGCTCCAAATCAACACAAGAGCTTGGAAGTTGTCAGAAATCACCGTGAAGCACCAATTCTGAGTGATCAAGTTTCGGAAGTCAGTTATGAACATGTTTCCCAGCGCCCTGATCGGCCCAAGCCATTGCCCCGAGGTTTTCAAACGATCCAACGAAAGTGCCATGACCAGCTTGGCGCAGAGGTTGCTGAACGTGCAGAAGCCAGCCGAGGAAAGTCACCCAGACATCTCTCACCTCTCCCTCGGACAGCTGAGAGAGCAGAAGATTGCTTTCGGGAAGGCACACCAAGGTAAGACTTTCAACCAGATGTGGAAGGAGGAACAAGGCTGGGTCACCTGGTTTGTTCAGAGATTTGCCCAGTCCACCAAAGCCGAACATCGCATTTTCCTGCGTTACGTCGAGCTCGAGATCGAGCGAGCCGAACTCTCAGGGGATCAGGTTCCAGTGAGGAATCAGCAGGAGACCAACAAGCTGATCAACATGGCAGACACACCGCCACAGTCCTCCCAACTGGGAAATGTGGCCAATGCAAAGGCCAAACCGATGATTCGCCCGACCCCCGAGACCCCGGTCTGGGACTTGGAGGAGGATCCCGATCTCTTCGAGATGATTCCCACCGACACAGGTGTGGTGCAGAACCAACAGATCGAGCACCTCGAGACCAGGATGCTGAATGTGGAGGGCATGCTGAACAACATCCTTCAGCACCTCGAGAACCTGACAGTGAACCGCTGCACCGAGCAATGAGCAGGGTTGAGTGTCCAAGCATGGCCCATCGTGAGACGGCCGGTGACATGTGCGCAGATTATATGTTCCATACTGATGCCAAAACCACTCCTGAATCCAACCGAGAAGCCATCAGATTCAACCAACTTGTAACCCAATACTCAAAGGAACTTTCCAAGGTATACCATTCCACTGATACTCCACCTTCACGTTTGAACCTGTTGGAAGTGTTCTGCAGC